TGTTTCAGATCATCGAAAGCAAACCCTCGACGATTATCCTAGGTTAGAGTCAGGTACGTTTTTTCCCGTGATCGGTGTATCGACACGGAGATCGATGGAGCGATCGTACCTGTCGAAAACCCGTTTCGCACGGCCGTTTTCCGGTATTTCGTTAACGAATGTAATCGATAGCTAATGCGTTACGTCACATTTCTACGGATATTCGTGCTAATCGGATAACTGTAAATTAACCAGACTCCGCGCGCAATATCCCAAGTGTCGCAACTATTGTGACACTGGACCCGTTTCCGTCACGACTTCCGCCTATCCGCCTATCGTTACTTACGAAAGAAACGCTGCTCCAACGTTTCGTTCCTTCCTGTTGCTTTTTACGATTTCTATTAAATCGCATCGCGATTAAAATTGGCGACATTCGGCCACTTTTCAATATTGATTGCCCAATATTTTTCAATTTCGTTTCTCTCGCGAAAGTGTTGCGAAAGTTAGGCTTGGAGTAATCGGGTCGTCCTTTAAAAAAGAAAGAAAGAAAGGAAGGAAGAAAGAAAGGAAGAAAGAGAAAGAAACGGTTAAGAGGGGCAAAAGCGTACCCTTCCGTGGTTTTATTTCTCGATTCTTTCCGGTTCCGGAGGGAGAGGAGGCGCGGATGGAAGAAAAAGTGGAAGAAAAAACAGTTTGCCCTGTTTTGTGCAGAGCCGCGTCAACAAAAAAGACCGCTGTGGAAGGGTGACGATACGTTGTGCGGTGACGGACGAAGCTGCGAATTTTTTCTAATGTGCTGGATGTCCGCTGGCCTTTTGGACGGCAGTTGCGGCGGCATCATGTTCGCTTGTTGTCAGAGGAGAGAGCCGAAAGGCAGCTCCTCCGATTATAACCTGATTGAGGCACCTAGAGATCAGTCTCAGCCGCTTTCGTTGGATACTTACACGGAGACAGTCAACGACGATCGTAAGTCCTTCCTACAGAAAGCATGCCATCCGATTCTTGCACTAGCATGATCACCTCTCTCTCTCTCTCTCTCTTCTCTTTTTAGACGAGACGAGTTTTATCCATCTCTTTCTACACTTCTTTCTCTACATTTTCTTTCTCGTTACTTCTCGACCCGAATCCTATTTCTTCCTTCGCCGTTTCTTATCTTCGATTTCTCTTTTACTCTTACTTTCTTTTTTTTTTTTGTTTTGTTTTTCTACGAAACGTTACTCACTTGCACTTTCCTCGGCATGTCGAAACGTTCTTCGCCTGCAAATTACTCGTCTCTTTAGCACTTGCACTTTCCTCGGCATGTCATCGAGAACCTTCACTTTCTCTGTTCGCACCTTCCAAACCACGAGGGAACCAACCTATTTTCTCGTATCCCCAACGTTTGATTCGCCAACAATCTTGCACGCAAAGATTAACAAAGCTATCGTTCGCCTTCCTCCCTTCAATTAATTAATTCTTCTTCACCTGTCTTGCATGCTCATCGCGATGAACAACGAAATGAATCCGTTCTGCACCGGTCTTCGACTCGCGTCCTCCTGTCACGCGAGTCCTCCATGTTTCGCATCCACTTCCGGTTTTCGCCCGAAACTCGCGAGAAAACGATCCTCCGTCTCCCCTCCCCCGAATTACGATCTCGAATTTCAAGAAACGGACAATTTTTTCCTTCAAGTTTACGCTTTTCGATCTTTTCTTTTCTTTTTTTTTTCTTTTTTTTTTCTTCTCAACTCGTCAAATAATCGAATTACTCCAAGTCTAACTCGATCCAACGGTGTTAACTCGACGACCAATCAGACTTTGACCGGACGAAACACGCATTTCCGTCGTTACAAGAATCGTAATAAAATTACTACTATCACTAATCACTCTTCGAGAAATTATCCGCGAATGAACGAATCGATTCCACGATAAGGACAGCTTATACCTACTTAACTAAGGACTAAAACGTGGTGTCCACATCCTTGTGTGTAATTGCAGGCTGCGGAATACCTGCCTCGAAGCAGACCGCGCAGAGAAGGATCGTGGGAGGCGACGACGCGGGGTTCGGCAGTTTTCCATGGCAGGTCAGATTTTCATCGATCAATCGTCGATTCGTTTACTTCTTTTTTTGTTTTTAATAAACGGAGAAAACGTTCCACTCTTTCCTCAGGCTTACATAAGAATCGGATCGAGCCGATGCGGAGGCACCCTCGTCAATCGATTCCACGTCG